AAGCCTTTTCTGGAAACAAACTTAGACGTGTGCCTGGTGTGAGCAGGAGCACCAGCTGATGGGATCATGGGCCCCATCACAGTGATGCCACAGATAGCATGCCTGGAATTAGTGGCCCCTGGGACTGTCCACACTTCCAAGACCAGCTTAAAACTGTGACAAAGTCAGTGGTGGGGAGTTGTGAGGGTGGGTGGGGAGATGCTCTCCTCAGTGGTAACCCAAAGTACCTCAACCTCCATGTTCTCTCTGGGTGCACCTCACACCACTGAAGGCAACAATGGGACCGGCTGCCACCAGCCTGTCTCATCACCATTCCTCTACCAAGTCTCAATGACAGAAAGATGGCACTCACCAATGTCAAGGCACCCCCGCTCAGGAGAGGTGCCCATGGCAGCATGCTCTGTACTCAGCAGCCTGTGCACACTGACCTCACCCTGGGATCTGCAGTCTGGCTGCTGACCTCGCCCTGTGACCTCCCCAACTTCTAGAACCAGAGCCTTAAGGCCAAAGGTAGCCTTCTCCTCACCTTGTGCAAGGCACACACCCACCCAGACATCAGCTAAGCAGCCTGCCTGAGGTCAAAACACCTGAAGAGGAGCTCAAAACCTCAGTCCTCTGTCCCCGGAGCCCCATCCCACCCCATCCCAGCCTGCATCTAGCAGTTACTCACCATTTGAGTGTTTGGTGTCACCTTCTGCTGCAAGACTCTCAGGTAAGCTTCTGTTCTGTCGTCCACCTCAATCCTAGGAATTACAGTAATGATGGGCAGTAGGCAACCCTCAAACCTTAGCACAGTCAACATCCCTGCACCAGTCCCAAATGGTACAAAGCACAGATAACAGGAGGGACACTCAGTGAAGGGTGTGGCTAACAAGCTGTGCCACCATCCTGGTTTAAAGAACCTATCCCTAGAACATCCCTGCCTGATCTTTCCTCCCATCCAATCCCTCTGTGTTACACAGAGCCATGGACGATCTTAGAGCTGTCATGAGCTCGCTGGTGCATCAATTTGGAGCATGCACCCCCTTCTGATAACTGCCAATCACTCTGCAGACTGGAGAGTAGATGGCCCCAGACACTCACATGATTGCCCTTTGCATCCTGATGCCCATGGCCGGAGTCACTCTGAAAAGGTTCTGTATCAGGGAGTTGGCCGCTTCATAATTCCTGCGGGTATAGATCAGCAGCCAGTTATCCAGCGGCTTCACACTGATCAGCGGTGCGCCTCTTGTTTCTTTGGACCAGTCTGCAAACTGCGGGTTGTAATCAAACTAGAATAAAGGGCAGAGATGCTACTGTCAGCTGTGATGAAGGCACTGGTCTTGCACAATCCCATCATGCATCTGGAACCACAGGCTACCACACTTAAGTTTGAATCAGAGTAACAGATCAAAAGTCCCCAGTGGAGAGAAGACAGAAGAAGCTGGAGGATCTTCCTATTCCATACCCTTCTGCGTACCCAGGACAAACTCTCCATCCTTCCAAAGACTTATTGAAACACAAGTGCCATTTTCCTTATGGTAAAGGTAAGACTCAAACTTGGGGTGGTGGCTCATGGTTTTAATCCCAACAATCAGGAGGGAGAGGCAAGCAGATCTCTATGTGGTAGAGGCCAGCTTGGTCCACACAGTCAGGGTCAGAGAAGGAAGCTAAGCCCCTTGATGGTGGGTAGTGTCCTGTGCCAACAGCAAGTTCAGGAAAGAGCAAACACCATTACAGCAAACACCCAGAGCTTCTAAGGTTCCGTGAGTCTTCTGGCCCTTCACCTGCTGGACTGTATCTTTCAGTCCTACCTGGGTCAGGAAGGCATGGATTGCTAGAAACAGCTAAAAAGAGTAGGTATTTGCAGCATTTGATTTCATAAAACTATTTTGAGAAATCACGTTTTTCCTTTTCCTGAGGACAAAACATAAAAGCACTCTAAATATTTAGCGTGACTCCTAAGAGATTCGTGGCCCAGACAGAGATAAAGCCAATCTAACGGGCTTCTTGGCAGGACTTTCTACACCCTAAGTTTTGTTGCTTACTTCAGTCTCTCTCCTTTCCCCTGTTCCCTCCTTTCCCCCGCCCCAGGGTTCTGGAACTCACTCTGTAGGCCAAGCTGGCCTTGAACTTATCCATCTGCCTCTACCTCCTGAGTGCTGGGATTAAAGGTGTGCCCCACCACCTCTCAGCTTTTTAGTCCTTTAGCAGATCTTCACTTGTCCCGAGGGCTGGGACTTGATAGTGGCTCTGGTGATTTTCCAGAGTTTGCAAAGAGCAGTCTGGTGCATGGTGGGCTATCTCCTGCCCCTGTGGGATTTAGCTGGACACCATCCCACCAACCTTACCGTCTTCCCACCCTGGTGGATCTTCTCAGATTGTAAGATTCTTCCTGAGAAGGACAGCAAGTTTGAGTCAAAGCTCAGGCCCCAGTCTCGAAGCTCCCTCTGCACATCGTCATCCCTATGAATTGAACACATGTACCCAGCACTGCTGAGCAGGCAGCAGCCAGACTGACAACCCACATTTGGGTGTACAGAGTGCCACTGTGGCTTGCAGCACACTTCAAGGCCACCCTGGGCCTAGAACACACAGATAAGTGTCTCTCCACCACTTGAAGAGTCTCAGTGCCCAAACTGCTGCCCCAATGAGTGAGCCACAGTCTACACAAGGCCACAGTCTACACAAGAGGGAAATGCGTGTCTAAGAACTGCTTGCTCTGTTCCATCCCGCTGCCTTTTCCCGACAGAACTGGAGAGGACACATCTGTATATGAAGTTTCGTTTCTTGGCTCCCTGAGAAGAATTGGTATCAGGAACTCAGGACAGCCCTCCACAGCCCTACCAACACAGAAGGCTACACTTCCTGCTTTCCAGACCCCTCCCAGACCCATAGAGAACCCCAAAACAGAAGATGAAAGTGTGGAGCTGGCCTACTTGTGGATGTAGTCGATGAGGCGGCCCACCTCCCGCTGCCGCTGCTCAGGGGTCAGCCGTGTGTGCACGGCCAGGTCCTTCATCACATTGAAATCATTGCGCATTTTATCAGTCAGACCTGCAACCAGAGCAGTGCCAATTAGAGCCGATCAGCAAGACTGCATAGCCCCCAGTGGGTGTGAACAGGGATGAGTGAAGAGAAGAGGGGAGCACTAAGCACCTGTGAGGTAGCAGAGCTCCGGGATGAGCATGGCTGGGCCAGGCAGTGTACCTCCGGGGCCTCTCCTCCGCTTGGGCTGGCTTACCAGCACTGGCTGCTTCAAATCCGTGATTTCCTGGTTGTACTGCTGCTCAGGAGGAAAGGAAGGGATGCTACACACCAACAAGGGAGTGTGGCACATGAGTGGGTACAGTGGATGCCTAGTTAACAACGAAAGCCAAGAACTAAGCTGGGCTAGACAGTGTCACACCATCCTGAGGGGTGAAGTGTATACTCCAGGAGCAGTTGTTCTTTCCACCCACTGAGGGTCCAGGAGCAGGACAGGTCTAACCCAGCTCCCCCAGGTAGATGAGCTCCATGTAGCCAAGTCCTCAGGACTTCTCTATGGAGACCAGACCATACACAGAACAGACTTCTCAGGTTACTGTCATGGTGCTCCAAACCCCAGGGTGTGAAGGCTCTTTCC